AGAACAGACCCTTAGTCAAATGAAACACTTGAATAAAAACGAAGGGAGTATCTACTCAACAAAATATGACTACAAATAAAAATGAGGGATTATGTTGACTTCCATATCAGCGCATAAGGGTATTGGGATATATCAACATCTACTCATCCATTTATTTTTTATTTTTTTGACAACGGAAACAAACAAATTACATATTAATACTAAAGTTAATAAAGTTAACCGCCGCTTCTCCAGCTATCAGATGAGCTCTTTGAACGCGCTGACAGTCCGCCTTGTGAACACTACAGACCTGAAAGGTTGAGCCAAGATGCTGAATCTTGCGGATGAGCCAAAGGTAATCTATGTTACCCTGGCCATCCCCTCGAAGGAGGGAAACAATATTACAGGAGTCAGTAAACACCATGAGAGAATGAAAGCCATTATCAAAAGCCCACTGTAACCCATACAAGCATGACAGTGCCTCCGCATGTAAAGCTGAATAGTCAGCCCCGAAGTTACTTCCACCAATGATCCGATCATCCCCCGGGTCATCATTATCCAAGCACCACCCCATCCCGGTATGTTGAGAATCTTTGAACCAAGACCCATCAATTTGCATAGACAGTAAAGCACTCCCATGAGAATTTAGACCAAGTCGAGCTACAAAAAACCCAGGCGGAATAGGGGAATCACCAGCACTCCAGACATCATTTGGGGAATTCGCAAAGGCATCCGAAGCTACAAAAATTGAATGTGATTCCATTATTGCGGCGAACTGTGAATCAAATGGGCGTGATGCCGACGAGTCCTTAAAGACTCTGGAATTTCGATATAGCCACAAACTCCAAAGCGTACCGACAAAGGTACCTAAGCGACTACTAGATGGGCCATCCTGACTAATAAAAAGTCGGATATAGTCTAGGATCCAATCTGAGAGAGAAAGGTCTCCATTAAATTATGAGCGGATGCCAAGGCATCCACCCCTCCAAACTAATCGTGCAGTAGTGCACATTCTGAAAAGATGTTGTATGTCCTCTGATCCTGAACGACAGAGGTCACAGAACACATCTTGAATCGGAACACCCCTGTGATGGAGCTGAACCTTCACTGCAAGAGCCCGGTGTAGCAGTTTCCATAAAAACAACTTCCATTTAGGTTGTATTTGGAGAGACCAAAGAACTTTCCAGAAGGAATCAGTACTAGAAGGTGTGGCAACAGGAGAAAGTTGTTGTTGAAGCATTGCATAACCTGTTTTCACCGAGTATGATCTAGATGGGGTGCTCGCCCAGAACCGGAAGTCTTCCTGAGTCGTATCAGGAACCTCCATTGCAAGGATTGTGGAGTCCGACGAAGGAACAAACCAGTCAACTGCCTTAGTTGTATACCACAACCTTGTGTGAGGATGAATAAAAAAACTAACCATTTGCGCAGCAGAACTTGACAAAGGAATTCCGGGTTTGAACTTTGGAACACAACCATTGGCCCACCTGGTCGAACCAGCCAGGGTGGAGAGGCCATTACCAATCTTCCAATTGCACCCCTATTGCAAAAGAGTGTCCGCCTTAGGTAACCCCCGTAGGCCATACGAAAGACAACCAGAAAAGGTACGACTATTGTGAGGATTGTTGGACAGGAAGGTGGTACGCGCTCCGAAAACTTTGGAAACTAGCAACTATGGGTTAGAAAAAAGTCTCCAAACCTGTTTCATAAGCAATGCATTGTTTAAGGAAGACAGACATCGAATGCCCAGGCCACCCAAGCCATGAGGAAGATGCATAGTATCCTTATTAACCCAGTGCATACCCTTAGTGTCTGAATGTGCCCAGAAGAACCGCATGAGCAAGGAATCAATTTTCCCAGTAACCGAGACAGGTAACTCATAGCAAGCGAGAACATGGGAGGCCATTGCTACAAGGATAGAGTTGATAAAAATTAACTTTTGCGATTGTGACATCCGGATAGTATTTAAACAATTAATCCTTCCAACGATTTTGTTGATTATGAACTGGAAGTGGTCCTTATTTTTTCCCACAAAGTCAATAAGAGCTTCCAGATGATGATCAAACACCTGAACAAGCTTCATTCGGAATATCGATTTGAAACCTGCTTGAGAGGAGGAACTGATATTCGGGCGAAACTTAATCAATGACTTTGACAAGTTTAGCTCTTCTCCTGAAATCTTCGTAAACCGTTGGATGATCTGCATGATATTAGTACATGAAGTAGACGTTGCCCGGAAAAAGATGAGCGCGTCATCCGCAAAGAATAAATGCGAGATGGTAGGGCTCGATCTAGATAGCTTAATAACTTGAAAAAGCTTCATATCCTGACCTTGGTGCAACAAACAAGAGAAAATATCCATGTAGAAAAGAAAAAGATAAGGAGAAATGGGATCACCTTGACGAAGACCACATTGTAGTTTAAAAGGCTCTGAGGTTGTGCCATTGATCAAGGATTTGTAAGAAACCATGGCAAGGCATTGCTGGATCATTTGAAGCTAACGTGCCGGAAACCCATAGGCCTTTAAGACCTGCAAGAGAAAACTCCAGTGAACTCTATCATAAGCTTTGCTCATATCGATTTTGATTGAGGCAAGCTAATTAGTGCCAGACTTAGAACAATTGATTTTCTCCATTAATTCATGACTCGACAAAATATTATCTGTCATAACACGTCCTTGTACAAAGGCGTGCTAAGAATCTGAGATGAGAAGAGGAAGATACTGGCGAAGCCTGGCCACCAAGCACTTAGAAGCGCATTTGTACACTGTGTTGCAAAGGCTAATCGGACGCAAATGTCCCATCTCTGTTGGGGTACCAATATTTGGAATCATAACAAGGAGATTGATTCCACTCTTTCAGTAGGTATCCTGTTTGGAAAAAACTTAGAATGCCTGAAATAACCGAATCACCACTACATCCCAGTGAGTTTTAAAGAACTCGACTGTGACTCCGTCCGGACCCGGAGACTTAGAGTTCCCTAAAGAAAACATTGCAGTTCAGATCTCAAAAGCAGAGAAAGGCCGTTCCAAATTAGCGAGTTGAGAGGAATTAAAACGAGGAAGATCTGATTCGCGAAGGACGATATCAATTTCGGGATCATAGGGAGGCAAACTATCAGTCTTGAACGTTTTTTTCAGAGACTCCACAACAACTCGCTGAACATCTGTTTGCCCATGTTGGAGCTCTCCCAGATCATCTAACAACGTGGTAATCTCATTTTTTTTTTCTGGCAATCGCCCTTCAGTATTCAGTTTTTCTTACAACGTTGTCTCCAATACTGTAGTTGCACCAAGATATTGTCCTTTGACGAACCTATATTAGTCAGATAGAGCGAGGCATCAGAAACCGACTGGAGAGTTTCACCCTCAATGGAAAGATCGTTGGAGAATTTTTTCTAGTCAATACCCCAAAATTTCTTATTATTGAGACACCATACCCTGATTAATGCTTTTACATGTTCCAGATTCTTTGAGAGAATGAACATAGGTGAGCCGGAGAATTGTCGTTGCCAAGTAGAGAGAACAAAGTTATGAATTTCCTTAAAGTTGAGACACCAATTATCCAATTGATAAGGACGGTTTGAGTGGCTCTGGAACTGATGGGAGTCATCAAAACAAATAGCTGCATGGTCAGAGATTAGAATCGGTTGATTAAGAACGCGACTATCAGGATAATTATGAAACCAATCAGAGGTCATATAGGCCTGATCCAAACGTTGTAAAATGAGTTGATCGTCATCCCTATTATTTGTCCACGTATAGGGGGGACCTTTGAAGGGAGTAGCAAGTAAACTAGACTGAATTTTAAAGTCAATAAAGGAATCCCAACCCTTAATGACAGAAGACCCACCCAACCTATCAGAGTGATGCTCAATTTGATTAATATCTCCAATAATCAAGCAATTAGGAGCAATAGCAAGTAAATCCAAAATCAAACCCCAAACTTGGGGTCTATCTTCCAGAACAGGAGAACCATAAACAAACATCACACATTTACTATTTCCATTAGTAAGCTTTACATTACATAGTACAACGCTTAAACAACAAAAAACACAAGAAACATCCTCCGAACCATAACCAAAAACTACTAAACCCCTGCTAGTACCTACAGAATCAACCCCAAAGACCGACGTCGGACTAGTAAAACTAAGGAAGCTATTCACAACGGAAACTGAGACTTTAGTTTCACACAAAAACAAAAAAGTACGAGCAAAAGAGTGCAACAACCAATACACATAAGGAAGCTTAGGCGAAGTTAGGTCGTTTAGACCCCGGCAATTCCAAGATGTAATCTTCATAAGACCTTGGGGAGCTGTGAAGGGCCAGCTACCTTACCAAAGTTGTCCAAGAAAACATTAGACAAGTGAGCAGAAGATGCACTTGTACCAAGACTAAAGGCCTTTGATGCAAACCCATGATCTGATTTTTTTTTTGATTTGCAAGAAGAAGAAGCAGAGGCCGCCTCTTCAACCTTTCTTTTCCCACCTGGCAATCCCATGAAAAGGTAGGAAGAGCAGCCCATAGAAGTGTCACCACGCTGAGCTTTATTAGCAGCAACAAACCCCAAGTAGTTTGCCATAGAAGCTAAGGCTTATCTAAACTCATCGTTTATACCAAAAACTCGAAAACCCACCATTTTACACAATTTACAGCTTGCAATCCAAACCTTTAAAATTTTACGGAGTACATTCAACATTCATATATGGTCAAAGTGATGAAAGCATTTAAGATACCAGATCATTAGTAAAAAAAATGGCATTTTCTCTGAATAACATGACTATCTACTGTTTACTGCCAGAAAATAACAAACAACTCATGACTCATACTAAGGCGGTATCTTGGAGGTAACAAGATGGCAGTTTGCATTTTATTTTCATGTAACATAACAAAATTTACCAGTGAAGTACTTACAGATTGGGGCTCCACAGTGCATTATTGCTGCACTGCACTTCATAATGTACAATAATATACTGAATCAAATGTCAGAAAATACTTTATATGATCACAAGAAAAGCTTGAATTTAGCAGAATAGAGACCCCACATATATTCAATTTCAAACTAGGGAGTACTACAAAAACTACCATCAGTTGGTATGGTATCTCTAAATGTTTCCTTTTTTTACAGTTTTTTACACCACATGGTGAAAATTTAAGATATCTGATATTTCTCCTACAAAGTACTACTAAATCTCTTGATAATTCCTAGCTTGCAATAATTGGTACCAAAATATACACATTTCGTTGTTTTTTTTCTGGTCTAGTTTTAATATTAGTACTAATATATATTTAATCACTGTTCTGGGAGATTACTTCGCCAAATTTGAGGAAAAGTTGGGCATCTGAGGTGCTCATTGTAGGGCAGTTGACCATGTGCGGAGCTTTGAGGTTAGCATACTCGTTCATGTACAAGGGCATCTGCGATGGTGGGAGAGGAGGTAATGGGTTAAGTGCTGCTTGTTTGACTGGCGTTTCTGGAACGAAGCTTGTGAGCACACGGGTTACTTCATGCATTGTGGGGCGATCACCGGGCTGTTTCTTGGTGCAGAGGAGCGCGAGTTGGAAAACCTTCTTAACAACTCCAACATCTTTGCATGTGGCTGTGATCTCTGGATCAACAGTTTCCATGACTGCATTATTTGCTGCCTTGGATAAGATCTACAAATTTTTGGTGTAAAATTGTTAGAGGTTATGCAACAATAGATGAAGCAGAAAGAAATTAACTTAAAGACACTTGGGAGTACTACCATGAAACAACAAGCCAAGAATCATTTTCACATCAATAAACTTTTAGTTTGAAACAAAATTTTACAATCTAACAAGCATCACATTCAAATAGACGAGGAAGGAGTCGAAGAAAGTGGGTGTATAGAATTTTTATTCAAGGTGATTAAAGCTATCTACCCCTACGCAAACTTCTTTGTTGGACAATGCAACTTTACAAGTATATAAAAGTACAAAATTAAGAGCATATAAAAGATACTCGTAGTCTTTTTTATCTAATTGTGAGATGACAGTTGACAATTGGTCAATCCCAAAGATTGCTTGTACTAAAATTCTTTGACTCATATTCCCCTAGGTCGCTTTAGTTACTAATCACGGGAACTAGCAGATGCATGACCAAAAGCAGTGTGGGTTAATTTAAAAGATGAGGCTGATATGGTAATGAAATTGTTCTTAAGGCCGGGAGGATACTAATGTGAGCAAAGGAAAGAGTAAGGCAAGATGTGAATTGTGATTCAAGGAATAAAAGTCCTTTTCATCTCATTCAATATGCATACACGCGTGATTATAAAGGACAATGGAACATTAAACATAGAGGAGATTAAAGATAGACGCTAAACTGACCAGGTGATGCAGATTTGATTCATTGTCCACAGCTTTTCTTCCAGTCAGCAACTCAAGCAGAACAATCCCATAGCTGTAAACATCAGACTTCTCCGTGAGCCGTGAAGTGCGAGCATACTCAGGGTCTATGTATCCAATCGTGCCCATCACATAGGTTGATGTGTGGGACTTTGAGGCGCATACACTCTTGGCAATACCAAAGTCGGTGAGATGTGGTTCTAAGTCCTTGTCAAGTAAGATGTTAGATGACTTCACATCCCTATGGATTATACGTGGGCTGCAGTCATGATGAAGGTATGCAAGCCCCTGAGCAGCTCCCAATGCTATTCTAAGACGAGTATCCCAGTCCAGCTTTTTCTTCTTTGCGTGCCCTAGGAAAAAGGTAAACCAAAGAATAGAAAAATCAAAACCTAGTCCAACAATATTGAGTGCAACATGGTCGATCAAATCACTCCATAATTCAAGTATCAACAGGAATTACAATGAAAATGAAAGGAAGAAACTAGCCGCACAATGACTGATGAAAGTGCCATCATTTTTCTCAAAATTCTAATGTCACCCTTTAGTCACGTAGTAGTATTAGTAATAATAACACACTTTAAGTGAAAGTACTATAAATTTTTTTTGAGGCGGCCAGACATCAAGTTGATGCTAGTCATCATAAGCTTAAATTTGAGCGACATTATTTGAAACTAATAAAAGCAAATGTGACAAGGAAACTAGGGGGTCTAACTGACCAAGTGAGGGGAGGATCCTAGACATGAATAAGCCTTAACAGATACAAAGACTTGCACAGGAGGAAAAATGACAAAAAGTTACCATGAAGAAGGTCCCAGAGACTCCCATTATCCATGTAATCGTAGAAAAGTAGGTTTCCAGATGGGGAAAGGGAGTATCCCTGCAAGCTAACCAGGTTCCGATGCTTTATACTCCCAACTGTCTCAAGCTCTGTCTCAAATTCTTTTAAAGATTGAGGGTAGTGGGAGTAAAGCTTTTTGATAGCCACGGGTTTGCAGTTCTTCAGCACACACTTGTACACAGTACTGGAGGCTCCATAGCCAATGATGTATTTTTCACTCAGGTTCTCTGTCATCCTCATGATGTCATCATATACATGAAGTGCCATGTTCATGTGAAGGATCACTAGCTTTGGTGAAGAATAACTGACCACAGCTGAAATTAGGCAGTAATCTTGCGTTAAACAGCTTAAGTATGAGAGAACAAGCAACATGGCAATCGAATATTGAACCTTAATTAATCAATGCTACAGTGCACCCCTTTTTAAAGAATTCCCTCTGAACCCAAACCCAGAAAACAAGAATTGAGCTGTAGTTAAGGAATATGGCTACGTTAAACTCGTGGAGCAGTATTGAAAGTAACCTGGTTTCTCCATCGAACCATCAAAAAATGGAGCCGGTTTTTGAGGACGGCAAGCTGCAACTAGAATCATTAAAAGAATCACAAGTGCGCCCAAAGCAATCCCCAATATGGCTGCCTTTGGTATAGAAACTGCAAAAACACCAAAAGAATAGAATAAACAACACAACTCAAAGTACCCTTCAGGGTAAACACAACAGCAACTCATTGAAAGAAAAAACAAATGCTCACAAGAAATAGTACACGGGTTACTATGAGAATAAGAAATCAACCATAAGTAAAATGAAATATGGAATGATATACAGATTACAATAACACTTGGAACCGCACAGTTTCAATAAGTGGATCATATAGAAAATCCCTTTTGTTCACAGATATCGCCCTTTGTAAGTGTACCACATAAATGGAGTTTTATTTTTCTTGTCACGTATTCAACTTAGAGAAGGCAATACGGAGAAGAGAAGGTAAGGGTTGAATTGGAAACTCGTCAAATTCTACATTGAATTACACCCTGACACAGACTTTAATGTGAAAGGATTTATAAAAGCTTTAAATATTGCTAAACAAGAGGGTTTCCATACAGATCTTATGGTGAAGAGCTACAAAAATATTTAAATAACACAATATACAATATGCAAACCATGAGTAGTGACTACCTAATACATCTCTCCAGCTCACACGCTTTGAAGTTGAAGCATTTACCTTTGCTAGCAGTAGGGGGATCATGACAACCTGAACCACGCCAGTATCCACATAGATTAGGGTTTCCGATGAAGCTGTGTAACAATGGCAAGAAAGTTAAAAGATAGAACATGAAAAGAGCAGAAGAAATTTTGTAAAATTCAAAAGAAAACCCCAGCACAAAAAAATTGATTTACATAAACTGATACATATACAAGCCTACAGGGCAAAAGCTTTTACCTATTTGGTGAGAATCTTGAAAAATTGTTACTTGTAGGAATGTCACCGACTAAGTCATTGTACGACACATTTCTGCAATAAAACACATAAATTGATTAGCTGACACAACAAGTCAACAAATAAGGCAAATTTGAATAGAGATGCCAATATTTATCGAGGAAGATGGGGTGGGGCATAATAAGAAGACTTAAAAAGTAAAAATCTTGGTAAAGAACATACAAAGTGGCAAGGCTGAGACAATTCATCAGTGACATCACATCTCCAGACAAATTGTTATATTCCAAACTCCTGCCATTATTTTGTCATAAAATATGTCAGGAGAAAATAGCAAGAGCATAGAATTAGAGTTATCATCAGCCAAAACTTACAGTGAGAACAAATTCTGCAGCTGACCCAACTCTTGTGGGATGGTACCAGCAATATGGTTACTAGAAAGATCTCTGAAACGCACGGGAACATTTCAGGTCAGGGGAAACAACTAATCTAAAAAGAGTAAAACAGACTGCAGATAGGAGGTATGAACTCACATGTCCACAATACTCCTGAGATTTCCAAACTCAGCTGGTATAAATCCACCTATATGGTTTCTGCTCAAGTTCCTACAATACAAAGAACAAAATGAGCAACATTAATGAACTTTTTAGACATTGAAAGGATTAGTATCACCACATGGCGAAACATACAACTTAAGAAGATGCTCCAAGTCCCCAAGAGGTGACGGAATGGATCCACTGATTATGTTGTCAGAAAGGTCCCTGAACATGATCAAAGTGTACATAAGTATCATCATCTACAGAAAACAAGATATTTCAAAAAGTGAGACTGCACATAAAAACTCACAGCGTATCAAGATTCCCCATTTTAGAGATCTCAAGTGGAATGGGTCCTTTTAACTTGTTGGATGAAAGGTTCCTAAAGATTGTCTCCGCCAAGTTAGGGTTAGAACTTGAAAACTATTACTAGATTAAATAATTCTACTCACTAAATTCTCACAGAATCAAATAGATTAAACACTCACAAGTATGTCATACTCTCCAGCCTTTGGAAGGCAGCTGGGATTGTTCCATTTAGCTTGTTGCCATGCAGATTACTGTCACATAAAAAAAGATAAAAGTTACCTATAGATATTACAAGACATTAAATAGTTGCAGGGACCAACATATTGAATGTAACTCACAGGCTATTGAGATTAGCACAAGAACTAAGGTTGCCAGGAATGGGTCCTTCGAGTTTGTTGTTGGCAATATTCCTATAAATAAACACTGTGTAAGACACTTGAAAGTGATGTGAGCAACCTTCCCTCAGCAGAAATTAGTATGATTACTACTTACAGGTCAAACAAGTCTGTAAGCTTCCCCAACTCTGGAGGAATGTGTCCAGAGAGCTTGTTATCATTTAGTTCTCTATCAGGTTCAAGGAGAAATGACAATATTAGTAATGAGTTGGAACATATAAAATACAGCTAGAATCCAGGAAATTGTGACATAGAAATCTGGCAATTGTTGAGTTCATGAACACATACAAGTAATGAAGTTTAGTCATATTTCCTAGCTCCGCAGGTATTGAACCAGTTAACTTGTTACTATGCAAATATCTGCAAAATACAAAATTTACTCAAACATCCCATAATGCAGATTGACAAACATTAAATAGCCAGGAATTGAGTGGGTACTAACAGTTTCTCAGTATAGCTCAGATTTCCCAATATTGGAGGGATTGTCCCAGTCAAATGATTGAAGCTTAAATCTCTGGGGGGAAAAATCAGCCAATTAGAATGATAAGAGTGAATAGTAACAACCATGTAAAAGGTACTCCATATATCCATATAGAGCGCTGGATTCACTTAAAGGAAGACTTACAACACTGCAAGTGCCTGCATCAAGCCAATAACAGAAGGAATTTCCCCCGAAAGTAGATTTCCTTGCAAAGACCTATCCAAAAAGTGCGATTTGGTTAGAACTTATGTTAATAAAAACCTCAATTTAATCAATTAAAGAGCTGAGATTGCATCTTCATACAAAGTTGCAACTTGCAAAAACCCTATGTTGAATGGAATCTCCCCAGTAAGCTGATTGTATGACAGGTCCCTACAGTATAATTAAGATAAACTCCTTTCAGTGATTGAGCCGCAGAGCAAGTAAACATAAGATATCTTAAGTGAAGGTTAGTGACATACAATACTTGGAAGGCAGTACAATTGCCTATACTCTGGGGGATAGTTCCTGTCAAACTGTTGTTTCTAACATCACTGCAAGATTTAGAAGAAATCATGATATTAAAACACAAATATGTGACAAAAGTGCTTAAACTCCATATAAAGCCAACATTATACGAAGTAGATGACTTACAAGTACCACAACCCAGTTAGCTGGCACATATCAGGTGAGAGTGATCCGCCCAGATTGTTGCCTCGAAGCCCACTAAATATCATTGAATAAATATTTCATTAAGTAGAAATAATTTGTTGATAATCAAATCTTTAAAATAGACAATACAGCCATACAAGTAGCCATAAACTTGCTCTAAAGTAGCTTTGACAAAAAGCTGGTATACTTACAGATATTGCAAAACCTCATTCCAATATATAAGCCTGGGAATTTCCCCTGTCAAAGAGTTCTGGGCCAGGTCTCTGTAGAAAACCGGTGAATCAAAAGCTTAGTCATATTATGAACAACTATGTGCAGATAAGCACACAATTGCAACTCAAAAGACAAGTTAAGAGCTTTACAAGAGTTTCAAATTTGGAATCTGCGAGAGGGTGGATGGGATTGGGCCTGTCAATTGATTATTCTTCAAAATCCTGGAAGACAATAGACATGTAAAATAAGAGAAGTTTATGCATCAAAAAAATAACAAAGCACCAATTCTTCAGAAAATCCCTTACAATTCTTCCAATTGCTTCAACTTTGATAATGAAAATGGTATATCTCCATAAAGCTCATTGAATGACAAGTCCCTAAGATCAGATTTTCATCAAATTAGTCATGATAACTTTAGCACATAAGACAGTTGGAAGAGCTAGCCTCCGAGGGTCCAAATAATGAAAACAACGCGCAATACTTATTTAATTTAATAAATCAAACATACAAGTATGTCAATGAAGAGCAATCACCGATCTCATCGGGTATTTGTCCTGATAGCCTGTTTCGACTAAGATCACTGTTCAAAATCCATCGCATATGTCAGCACTCAATAATACAAGGTAAGGAAAAATGGAAAAGTATAGCAAAAGGTGGTACAATGTACATTGATAGCAAGCTTTTAAGATCTCCAATAGCCGGTGAAATCTCTCCATCAAGATTTAGCCCTGAAATATTCCTAGATAGATACCACCACCCAAAAGGCAGACAAACATTATAAACTTTACACAACAAACAAACCCAGCATGCAAAACAACCAAATATAATGATAATGACTTGGCATGACTAACTTAATAAGATAAGAACAAGAAGCATAAATATCATGTCTCCATTAGTCGTCACATTACTAGCTCAAATTACACTATCGATGTGACTACTAATTCCGGCCGAGCCAAACGGGGAAGAAGATACAGTTAGACGACTCACAAGGCGACGATGTTGAAGGTGGCATTGTCACAGGTGACCCCTCTCCATACACAGTAATCTGATGATGGTGAATCTGACCAGTCATATAAAACATTATCTACATCCCTAATTGACTTCTTAATCTCCAACAGTGTTGCACCTTTATTAATCCCAAAAGCAAAAACAAGTTAACAACTTAATTAAAGAAATAAATTCATTGCACTAAAATAAAATGATTAGACAGAAAAAGGCATCCCACCTACCCAAATAAAAAGGGAAACAAATAGCAAAAATAACAAAAAAACTTTGACAAATCTAAAAAGCAAAGATAGAGTTAAAAATCACTCTCAAATGATAAGACTAAACATAAGTACATCCTTCTCTTAAAAAATTAAAATAACGGCTCAAATTGTTGTTACCTATATCAACGACAATTATACCCCTCTTATAAAATACAAATTCATCAAAAGTCAATTTATTTAAAAAAAAGTAAGCGGATAGAGCCGCAAAGGTAGTATCATAGACGGGATTCGATCCTAGGTCTTGGGTACGGGTCATACGATTAATTAAAAAGATGATTAAGGACAAACCGATGATTAAAGACAAAAAAAAATGACATTATTATATTAATCACACATAAAGTAGGTAAATTAACTATGTTTAGACAAAAGACAAAAACATTAAAAAATGATTTCAGAGAAGAGAGAGAAGAAGATGAAGATTAATAGAACATACCATCGTCAGAATTCACAGAACCCAAACAACAGAGTAGAAGAGAAGTTAGAAAAACCCAAGCTGGAAGACAATGCCGCCATTGTTGGAACCCACAGAAAAATCCCACCTCCATTTTTCACTTTTTTTTTCGCAAAATTACTTTAAAAAAAACCCACTAAAAATTCCACAATTTTCTGGGTTTTGTCAAGCTCAATCAACCATTTCTACCCAGAAAAAATCCCACCATTTTTTGAGCTTTTTTTAAAATACCCACTAAAAAAACAACAGAACTCTGGGAAAAATGAATTTGAATCAACAGTTTATCAACTGGGTTTTTCTACTTTGAGAGAGAGAAAGAGTGAAAACAGAGTTAAGAAGAAGAAGAATCACGAAGAAGTTGCCAATATAATCAATTGGGAAATTCTCTCTCATAAAACAACAAACAAAAATCCCCATTTAAACACAATGTACATTGCATTTCCTCCTCTTCAAATCTACCCAGTTCCCAATTAAATTTTGTAGGGATAGAAAGAGAAAATTATGATAAAAGGAAGTAGTCACTGTATAATTAAAAAGAAGAAAAAGACTAGTTTTTCAGCTCTGCAAAATTTCTGGGTTATTATCACACAACACAGCTAGCTAGTACTCTGCTTTTTACAAATTTTCTCTCTCCTCTAACTCAGACAATTGTATTAAATTTGTAGTATATAGGGGAGCTCAGCTAGTAAAAATAGCAATAAATAAATTTATTTTTTCTGGGTAATTTTTTATAATCAATTTTTTTATTGAATTTTGAGAGGAGAGAGAAAGAGAGAGAAGTCGCTTTCTTGCTCTGTTTTTTTTGGGGAGGAGAGAGAGAGAGGAGTCTGAGCATCTGCAGACGCCACCCTTATTACTACTTTTTCGACTTGACAGCGATCCTACTTCCCATTTTTTTTTTTTTTTTTTTTTTACTAAGCAATACTCCGTAAAATTCTTACCTAATCAACGGTTATGGGACGTTAAATGAGTACTGACCTGGGCACCGTCCCAAAAAAAAACGACTCATTTGGCCAAAACTTTGTCCCAAAAAGAATGACCCATTTGCATTAAAACATCACCAATTTGCAACAATATTTGTGCAAAATTAGTTTCCCCATATAAAAATTTGATTTTCCATGTTATTTTATTACTTTCTCTCTCTATTTTTTTACAAACTCCATGTAAATTTATCTTTCCAATATACTTTTACTTCTTTTTACTTAACTTCCTTAATACCCGCGTAATCAATCCAAATGGGTCGTTCTTTTTGGGACGAAGGGAGTAATTAAATACGGAGTAAGAGTAATGATTTATAATCCTGGGCACCGTGCCGGGCCGTGCCGCCGCGGGCCACGGGCTGGTTCGTGTCGTGCCGGTCGTGCCGGCGGGCCCAGGATTTCGTGTCGTGCCGTGCCGGCCATTTTCACAGGCCAGCCCACGGCACGGCACGGCCCTCGTGCCTGGCGGGCTGGTGCCGCGCCGGCCACGTGCCGGCCTGCGGGCTGGTGCATTTTCAAATAATTTTTTTTTTTATTATTAATATATGACAACATTATAAATTAATAAGTTTATAATTTATATAAGTTATAAAATTATAATTATAAGTTTTATAAGGTTATAACTTATAAGTTTATAACTTAAGTTATAAGTTATAAGTTATTAAGTTATGAATTTTATAATTATAAGTTGAATATTTATGTTTTATAATTTGTATATTCAATATTTATATTTATATATTTACTTTATACTATTACTTTAAAATTTAATGTTTATGATTTATTAGTAATTGGTATAATTTTATTTTATTTTAATATGAATTTACAAATTGTAACAAAACGGGGAAAAAAGGCAAATTGGACTTTGGATGTGAATAATGCGTACTTTATATTATTATTACTTGAGTTGAGAAAATTGTACAATGATAACAATGATAAAAATCATACAATGATGGTATTAAACAAAAATTGGAAAATGATAAAATTGATATTTTTAAAATCGTACAATATACAATAATTGTCTATTCTTCTTCTCCTTCTTCTTGCTCGTCTTCGTCTTCGTCTTCGCCTTCGCCTTCAAGGTCATCGGCTAGTTGCATAGATTGGGAACTAGCCGAACCCGAACCGGAAGCGGAGGTTCCTTCTTCGTTGTCGTTGTGGTCGTATGAACGGTCTTGTGAGCGATTTTCCGCATCCAACCAATCTTTGAAACACACGCACATTTCTAGTGTTTCGGGTTTTAGACTTGTTCTTCTATCGTCTAAAACCCTTCCGGATGCGCTGAAAGCTCGTTCGGAGGCGACGGAGGAAACTTGGATAGCAAGAATGTCTCGTGCCATTGCCGCCAAAGTTGGATGCTTCGAGCTTTGTTGTTTCCACCATGCAAGGAGGTCGAGGCTGTTTATCTCATCGCCGTCCATGCCTTTGGTGAAGTCGTAACTCAGGTACATCTGCAACTCCGAGACGTCGCTTTGCGTTCTCCTGATTGATGAATCACCTGAAAACCTTGAAATCAAGTTAGTAGCTTGTGAAAATAAATGTTTGGCCTTCTTACTTACGTTTTTGGATGGTTGGGAAGGCCCTGAGCGAGGAACGGTGCCATATTTGGCTTCATAGACTCTATATAAAGCAAAAAACTGATCCTTCACATTAGTCTTATAGTTTTCTACATCATCGTCAAGAAACATGCATTGAAAGTAAATGTCAACTAAAATAAATGTGTTTTCATACTTTTGCCTAGGATCTAATATGGAAGCAAAAATATAAATCAAAGGAATCTCACTATAATATTTACGCCACTTTTTTTCCATTGCTGGAAGATACTGATCATAATCACTTTGATAGCGATGATCAGCGAAAAGTTGGGCGAGTAAGCATGCATTAGAAAGAAAGTTTTGAGCACAAGGATTGTAAACAGTAGAAAAACAATACGTCATGTTATATAATAACTGTAAAAATTGCATATATCTTTCACAGTTATTCCAATCATCATCATACAAAGCATTTTGTGGAAATTTTTGGTTGTAAAATAATGTTAACGGGCCCTTGTACTCAATTGCCTTTGTTAACATGTCATAGGTGGAATTCCACCTAGTTGGGCAATCGGTTCTAATTTTTATTACCCTTATCTTTTGTTGTTTTAGAAAACTCTTCCATTCTTGGTATCTCATGTTAGAGCTATTAATAGACATAATAGCATCTCTGATTTTGCTGTAGTATGGGCCAATTGCCCGAACTCCATCTTGTACACATAAGTTAAGTACATGGCAAACACATCTAGTATGAAGAGCTTCACCGTCTAATAGTACATCGGTTAAGTTTTGTTTGATAAGATTAGTTGTGTATGTCATAGAGGTTGCATTATCAAAAGTCATAGACATCATTTTATCTCGAAGGTTGTATTCGTCTATTGCTTGCATTAAATGGTGAGCAATGTTAATGCCGGTGTGTGGGTATTCCAGCATTTTGAAATGTATTATTCTTTTTTGTAACATCCATTGATCATCTACCCAATGGCAAGTCACACATAAATAGTGATATTTATAACCACTATCCCAAGAATCGGCTGTTAAAGATACTCTACAGTTAAGGTTACTCAATTCGGCTTGTAACCGGACATTGTACTCTAGGAAATTTTTCATTGCGGCGGAACGAACGGTTTTCCTAGAGATTCTTTTATGTTGGGGTTGTAGTGCTTTGTTAATGTAGGTGTTGAATGCGTCACTTTCCGAGAAAAGAAAAGGTTGTTCGACGTGTACTATCATTTTTCCTAGTTCATCCCTATCCCTCTCATAGTTGTATGTAAAGCCGTATGGATGGAATTGAGAAATTTTGGGCTGGGTTGGATCACTAGCTGGTTTTGCACAAGCTTTCATGTGTCTAGATAAGTGTCCCGTCCCGTTTTTGGTAACTGTCGTGAATACACTATTACATGTTTTACATTTTGCCCATTGTTCACCATCTTTACTTAGGACAAAATAACGCCATACCTCACTCCTTCGGTTTTTCAAAAGTAGCATCTCAGTTTCGGTTAACCATTCATGATGTGTGTGATGGTTAGTAGTGAGACTAGTGGGAGTGGCAGTAGAAGGGGTAGAACCGGAGGGAATTCGGGTACTTTCTTGGCTACCTTGGCTAGAACAATAGTTTTGTTGATCACCGATATAATTAGGTGGAAATTGGTATGGTGGTAGTGGAAATTGGTTTAGTGGTGGTGTTGGAAATCCCGACGTATTATATGGCTCATAGCCCGGGGGGAAGTAAATGGGGTCATTGGTTTGACTCGTAATTTGGGGGCTCGTTGTATTTGGTGGTTCCCTAGAACTACTACTACGGATAAGTCGGCCTTTCCCCCTAGACCTAGATGATGGGTTGTTCGATGCCATAATTAACAATTAATTTTTTAATAAAAAGTGGTTAACTATAATAATAATAATTAATAACAACAATTTTAACAATAAAAATATCAATAATATTAATTAATAACAACAACTATAACAATAACAATAACAACAAAAATAAATAATAACAACAATTGTAACAATAATAATAATTAATAACAACAATTATAACAACAACAATAACAATTAACAACAATAATAATTAAACAAGATTATTCTAATAATAACAATAAAACAATAATAAATTTAAGATTAGTTTAGATCTTACAACCGTGCTTCAACGCTCCACTAATTACGATTACGAACTTTTTAATTTTTTCCGATATTAGGAAAATAATTAGAGAATTTAAGAGAATAATTAGAGAATTTAAGAAAATAAGGATTATTAGAGATTTAGAGAATATAAGAGATAAGAAGAAGAGATTGTGATTTTGTGATTTGGGAATGAAATGGAGGTGAGTATTTATAGAATTTTTGGGGAGCAAATTGGCAAAAAACTAGCCGTTTTTTAGCCGTTTTTTTGGCTTATTAAGGAGCTAGAATAAACGGTAACATTACCGTTGGCCCGCGGGCCGTGCCTGCGGGCCAGCACGGCGGGCCATGCCCGTGCTCGTGTCGGGCCGTGCCTGGGAATTCTCAACCCTGTCCGTGGCACGACCCGTGGCACGGGAGTTGAACTTCGTGCCGTGCCGTGCTTGAATTCGGGTCGTGCCGGGCTGCGCCGAACGGCGGGCCGTGCCGGGCGGCACGCGGGCCAACCCGGCCCGTCCCCAGGTTTAACTCCTATTATTATACGATAGGGCATAAATATGTTTTATACTCGAATCGTAACCATTGTGTCACAAGGCTCATAAATATGTTTTATACTCTATCATTATACGATAGGGCAAAAAGAGAATTATTTGTAATACTCGTACTCCGTATAAAGTATTGTTAGTAGGAGATAAAAAATAAAAAAAAAGTAATATAAATAGGATTAGTAGAAAAGAGAAATATTAAAATATTTTGTGGAAGGTGAATTAGTGGAATATATAAATTACAGATAATGATAGGTCCTTTGTAAATATAAAAGAGTTGAAATTAATACTTCGTATATGAAACGAATGAAAAAGGAAAATGTTGCGATTAATACGAAATGAAAGGAGTGCTCCATATTAATATAGGAATGCATGTTAATATTATGTGTTGATCAATGTAATTTATGTTCATTTTAATTTAATATTTTTACTTTTATTACTGTAATATTATCCAATGTCTCCGGACATTCATTGATTTTTGCCTTTTTGTAAATAAAATTAATTATTTTAGAAAAATAAACTACTCCGTATTGATTTTGAAAAATAAATAATTTGCT